TCTCTCTCTCTCTCTCTCTCTCTCTCTCTCTCTCTCTCTCTCTCTTTCCTCCCTGCCTTGTCTCTTCCCAGACCCTCTTTCACAGGGATTGTTTACCTATAGGCTGCACTTCATCTATTGCTTAGGCTCACAGGACTTTAACAGTTGGCTGGTGTCCCTTGGTCATGCACCTCTTTGCTGGTGGCTCGCAGATTTCACCTGCTATAGTTTGTCTATCAGATGTCTCCCAAGGGCCTGGGTGCTTAGTCCCAGAGTAATGCTATGGGGAGGCTATGGGGAAGCTCTAAGAGGTGGGGCCTAATGGGAAGCTCTTAGGCCACTCGGTGTATTCGAAAGACAATTATGCTGGCCCCTTCCTCTTTCTGCCTTTTAGCTGGCTGGTTTTGAGGAGCAGTTTGCTCTGCCTTGGCTACCTCCACGGCATGTTGTTTCACCATGGTCCAATGTGACAAGACCAGTCTCTCAAACTCTGAACCCAAATGAGTCTTCTCTTCATGCATTCGTTTTCTTAGGTATCTGTGATATGCCAGGCTGTTGTCTCACATGACCGAGGCTCCCACGTGGTCATTGCCCTGATACAAAGGCAGGCTGCATGCTCTGTCTGTGCCTGCTGGGCTACACTGGGAAACTGGTTTGGTTAGATGTGTTTGGGGGCACGCACAGGTGACACTGTGATGTGCATGATGTTTTCTGCTGTCATGGTGAGTGGCCATCACTGTCTCCTGTCCCCAAGACAAATCTCCACTGCACATAACCTGGAGTGTAGGTGAGCACTGGGAGATGCCACTCATGGGACATTTTGGGCAAGCACAGAACTGAGCATCTCTGGACTGCTGAGAGTGCTGGACCACATACCACTCAGCCTGTAATTTGAAGAACATATTTCCCAGCCCAGCAGGTGGCAGAGGGAATCCAGTGCTTCCTCAGCAAGCCCGAGATCCCAACAGGACACAGCCCAGGCTTCTGGAGAAGAAAGCACAGCCCCACTGGAGGGATAGAGTTGACAAAGGTTTTTATTCTGCCCGGTCCTGTAGCCATTTAGTCCCAAAGAAACACATAGAAATCTACATTAATCATAAACTGATTGGCTTATTAGCTCAGGCTTTTTATTAACTCTTATATCCTATGTTAACTCATAGCTTTTGTCTGTGTCAGCTTGTACTTTTGTCTGTGTGGCTTGGTACCTTTTATTAGTGAGACATTTTTATCTTGCTTTTGCTGCATCTGGGCTGTGACTGTAGACTCAGCCTATCTTTTTTTTTTAGAGATTTTTTCTGTTTAGGTTGCCCCACCTATACTTCCTGTCTGGTTGCCCCACTTATACTTTCTTTTTGGCTACTGGCCAAACAGTGTTTTATTAAAACAATATAATGTAAGTGACAGGGTACAAGACCATTGTCCCACAGTAGGATAGCCCCGGATAGACCTTCAGGACACGCACCAGCAAAGAATATATGTTCAAGGTGAAGGTGTCACCAGGATACCAAGCACTCCAGCTATATTCGAGACTGATCAGAGGCAGGCCATGAGAGTTACTTGTGTGGAACATTTCAGAAGTGAAAGAACCAGACATGTCCTGGAAAGCATAGTCCTTAGTTCCTATAGGGCTCTGGCTCCAAGGGCAGTCACTAAGGGGGCAGCAGATCAGAATGAGAGAAGTCACTTAGAAGGAGAGATGCCATCTAGGAGAAGGGAGATCACTTAGGAGGGTGGCAGTTACCTATGAAGGCAGATGTCAGAGAGGGGACAGGAGTCATCAAGAGAGGAGGCCGCTCAAGCAGGAAGCACTGTGGCCAGGCTTTGGACCGGGGAACTGGTAAGGCTAGCACTATGCCAGCAAGATCGCCCCATGCTTGAAAGACACCATGCTCCCAAGTGAATAGCCTTGGCATCTGCAGGTGAGATTAAGCATTTATTAATGCTTCCCACCTTGAACCAAGGGCTCCATCCCAATGTGGGATACTGCAGCATCCAGTCGCTGCCTACATCTCCTGTCAGTCCTCAATGGGGAATAGCACATCTTTTTTTTTTTTTGGAAAAAAAGATTTATTTATATGTATGTGTGTGTGCCTGTATGAGTTTAAGAGTACCAAGTGTGTGCAAGTGCCCATAGTGGCCAAAAAGTGACAGATGCCCCTAGAGCTCACGTTACACACAGTTGTGAGATGCCTGATGGGGATGATGGGAACTGAGCTGAGGTCCTCTGCTAGGACAGTAAACCCCCTTAACCACCGAGCCATCTCTGGAGCCCTGTAAGTCACTTCATTTGAGGTTGTCAGGCTGTATTTGGGTTGCCAACATGCCCCGGTAGAGCCACAGCTTCAGCCCACTCCAGAGGAAAAAAAATTGTCAGGAGTTTGGGAGCCTGGAAGGGAATAACACCTGCCACCATACCTTAGATTTGAGAGCTTTTCCCGCAGGAGGATGTCAGTGCGGGTGGACGGTGGGAACTCAGCTTCGCCATTTTCTTCATTGCCTTGGGCAAGGTAGTTATCTCTGTCTTCTAGTTTCTTCCTTGTTAAGTGGACCAATCAGACCCTTGGTATGGTTCAGAATGAGGAGCCAGGCCTCTGCAGCAGCTAGCCCGGTTGCTCCTGTATTGCTCTTATCCCACTGTGCAGTACGATGATGCCACCTTCTAATTCTGTGATACCATTCGATGTTCTGGGCTGCGTGGGAAGAGGGCGCAGGGAGTCTCGCGTGACTCCCCGGTCTCGCGTGACTCCTCGTTACAGATAGGAAGACTGACAGGACTGTATCCAGCTTGTGACAGAACCTGGAAGTGCCTGCTTCTTGTGAACACTGTGTGCGTGATGGGGCAACCATGAGCTGGGATCTGAGTCTCAGAGAAGAAGGAGAAAGTTGGTCCTGCCTCTCAGGAGCTGGTGAGATGATATCCTGAGCTGCACACCCAGGAAGGGAGGTTCCCCAAAGAAACACTGGCAGGCTTTGCTCTTCAGCCAAGTTCGGATTGGACTGGGTGACCTTTTTGCGGAAGATGGGGTCACCAGCTGCTTTGGCATCCATCATGACAAAAGAATGAGTACAAAGCCAGGTCGCCAGGGAGATGGGGCTCTCTGAACAGTTGGAATAGAAATGTGCCTGGGGTCCTACTTGAGAGGATGCTTGGACCAGCTGGTCAGCCTTCTGCCAGCTGCTGTCAGCTGCAAGATGGAAGGCAGCTCAGGCAGAGCCAAAGAGAGCCTGAAAGGGCCCTTGGAGAGAAGATTCTGGAAGAGCAGGCCCTGAGGTGGGAAGATCTTTTTTCTCTTTCTGCACTGGTTCTCAGAGGTGATTTATTTCCAAAGAAGTGGGTTTGAGGGATGAGGTGTACCAAATGGGAAGGCAGCAAGGATGCTGCAATCTGGACCATCCTGGACTCCCAAATAGCCTGTGCTCTGAATAGACCTTTTGTTCTGTGTGGCTGCGTTGAAGGCGGGGAACCGGTAGTGGATGCCCAGAAAGGGCTGTGACTAAGTGTCCATTATAAGTGGAGCATTTTAATCAAAAAATCCATGTAATTTATTTGAATAAAAATGTGTGCTCTTTACAATCCTGCTGTTTCCCTGGCCTTCCATATTAATAGTTCATTAATACTTCAGGAATGGTGACTGTCGTCTTAGAAAACAAATACAAAGGCAGAGAAAAACATTTGTGGTTGTCTAGGCTTAAAACAGTGGTCACAGGGCTGAAGAGATGGCTCTTCAGTCAATTAAATACTTTCTGTGCAAGCATCAGGACCTGAGTTCGGTCCCCAGAGACCTTGTAAAAAGCTGGGCTTCGGTGTGAGCTCTTGTGATTCAAACATGGGGATGGTAGAGGCAAAGGATCCCTGAGGTTTACTGGGTAGCCCACATAGCGGAATAAACAATTCCTAGGCCATAGTAAGAGATTTTGTCTCAGAAAAAAACAAAGGTGCACAGGGCTTGAGGAATGACACCCAAGGGTCACTTTTGGCTTCCAAATACAATTATGCATGCATGTGTGTACACCTGAACATGAACACACACAGCACACATGTACACTTACAGCACGCATGTACACTTACAGGGGTAAATATAGTGGTCATAGGGTAAGGAAGATCTAGGTTCACAAAACACTTGGCCCCAGACACCAGCTTCAGGCATGAAAAAGTCGGGGGAGTTGCCCAGGGGCCACTGGACTCTGGACATGGAGCCCCAGACAGAGCCATGACTAAAGGTGCCCACTGTGACCTATAGGGATGCCTAAATGGACTGAAGTTTGGAGCCTTGTGTGTGCTCAGCTGTCCCCTGCAGGTCTTCCTTGGGCAGGGTCTCTGGGAAAGGACTCTGGGATGGGACATGTTTCTACGGCTTGGGTATGGGAAGGCATACAGGAAAGCCTTTGCCTTCTTGGATTTCTGTGCTGCGATGCCCTCTGCCCCTCCTGTGCAGATACTTTGTTTCCCATAGGGAAGAAGCCTGTTCTTGAGTCTGACACCACCCACCTCTCAATGGTGGCTTTTCTCGATCCAACACTTGTGAAAAATGGGATTCTGGACTAAACCTCCCACCTCCTAGCCTCAGTTTTCTCAGTACAAACCAAGGTGGGCAGCCAGATGGCATATATGCATGAACTCTGCCCCAGGACCAGGGTTGGGCTTATGGGACATTTATTAGTCTCCACCAGCCTGTATCTCTAGAGAGCCATGGTGTACCACACATGAGCACCAGTGATTCACGACCTTGCTTTGTATATAGAGTCAAACCCTCCCTCTCTGTGTTCATCATACCTCTGTCTGTGCCAGGAAGAAGCTCTGAGGTGGGTAGGAACGTGTGGGTGAGGGTCAGGGTCAAGGTCAGGTTAGAGGGAGGGTGCACCCTGTTTTCAGCACCATGGACAGAACTCAGCAGCTGTTCCTTGTGTATGGTGAGTTCCTTGTAACCAATGAATAGGACCCAGCCTGGGCCTTCTAGACCCGCCAGAACAGAGGATGACCCAGAGATAGACAGTGGCCTCTGTGACGTGTGTGGTCAATGCACAGGGCTGGAAGAACTGGAACAAGAAGAGGTCACTGATTGGGCCGCTTCCTGGGTGTCCTTGGAAAGGAGAGACTAAGGGCCCACCTTGGAGGCTGGGAGGTCTGAGGCCAGACTAGAACAAGGCTGACTGGCCCGCATCATCTGCGCCCTCTTGTACATGTGGTGACGGCCCCTCGGGCCTCCCAGCAGTCTGCCTGGCTGAGTCCCCAGGGTGCTCTCTCTGTCTGTGTCTCTCATCTGACAGACCCTGGCAGGAGGCCGGCTCGCAGACAGATGTGCAGACAGACATATTTTGTTGCTGTTGATAAGGTGTCCAGGGAAGACAGCTCCAGTGTGCAGGGCAGGAGGGCAGACAGACAGGAAGATGAAAGGGCACCTCCCGCTGTGTCTGCCAAGCCCAGCTGAGCTGCAACGCTGCAGTCTTACCACGTCTGCTGGCAGCCCTGAGTCCTCTTCCCTCTCTATTGGTACCAGTGCCGAGAGGGTGTTTGGTCCAGGTTTCTTTCGGCACAGTGACAATGTGTTACCTTGCATGGACAAGGCAGAGCAGGTGGAGGTGGGGATTGGGTTGTCTTCCATCTTCTTCCTTGAGTCTCAGACAAGGTGGGCCTTCCCATGTACTTTCCCTAAAGTCAGGGCCTCTCAGGATCTGGGGAATGGGCTAAACAAGCCCAGTCTAAAGACCTGGACTGTATTTAGTGTGAGGACATTGTCTTCATTTCTCAAAGCAGCTCCTCTGCACAATCTCCATTCCTAAAAAAAGAATATGACGGGCTCAGGGTCCCAGGAGGCTGCTGTGCCACAGAGGCCTCAGATTCAGGGATGAAGGAAACAGCTGAGTTGGGACAATGCAGGTACCAAGTGAGGAAACCTGTCCCTTGAGGGCACAGTCACTAGTCCCTGTCTCTGTCTTGAGTTAACAGAGCTGGGTAATACACCCTATAAGATGGCAACTTCTCAACTCTGTATTTCTCTCACCAAGACCTCATTGCCAACACAGGACCATACAGACTCCTCCTGCACATGGAGGGGACAGCCGGTTGTCATGGGCTCCTTGCTACTCTGGTGAGATGCTTGCGTAAACTGTATATATTGCAGACTATGGAGCTAGGTGGAAAGGAACCCTGGGATCTTTTGGTACCACCTATAGTAGCATACCGAGAACAACTAGCCCTGTGGCAGTTAAGTCTTACCATGATCTCAGAATCTCAGCACTTAGGCTGTGGCCACCGCCCTGTGTGGCCATCCAGCACAGATGGAGTCATCAAAATAGAGACACAAGGCTCTTTCTGGATCTTGTTTTCCATCAGATTTGGAGATTATAGATCCCACCCTTTTTCAACTTCAAGATTGCAACCTTTATCCCCCCGCCCCCAGCCCACCGCCACAACACACAACCCTTGCAATAAATCCAGGGGTGACAGAATTCCTAGTAAGTGTTGACAATACCCTGACTCTGTCTTTCAGTTCTGGAGATTCCAAATGGCTCCCCTGTCACCATCGCTCCAGTTTCTCTATGGTAGAGGGTTGTGTCTGGATGAGAACTGGTGTGCTATTTCAAGGGATTCCATGGCTCACCTGAGGCTCCTGAAATGACCCATGGCCATGGGTGGGAAACTCTTCCCATACTCTACCCTTTGCTTCTGCCCAGAGCCTAAAAACAGCCTCCTTTCTGAAGTTCTCCTAGGCAGAGAGAGAGAGAAGTGCAGTGCAGGGCTCTCCCAGCTGAGCCAGATACTGGAGGAGTGTGTCATTAGCAGGGAGCTTCCCTTATGTCCCCTACCTTCCAAGGTGGTGTGTATTGCAGCTACTCTTGATAACCGGCTTAATGTTCTGCTGTTTAGATGAAGTATTGCTGCCAGAGTGCATGCAGGTCAGCCAGAAGAGGCCTGGGTTTGGTCAACATGTGCGAGCATTCTCACGTGCTTGTGTACCAGTCTCTCCAGGAGTGGGAGGGATAAGTTAATGAGTTTCATCAAATTAGAGTATCAGGCTGCAGTCCATCATGCCATCTTGGCTCTGTCCAGCTGAGATATAAATTTATATTTTAAAGAATCTAATGTAAGCAGGCAGTGGGCTAGTGGAGCCCTGGAGAGAGAGGCACATATGAAAATACTCAGCGTCCCTTTGGAAAAAGACAGCTGTCTGTGTGAAGACAGCATGATCAGACAGGCCAGCCTTTTGCTGGACTCCCTTCAAGGTAACCTGGCTAGAGAGGGGTCTTGCCCAGCAAGGGTAGCTGTATTAACAAGAGTCATGCAAGGAATAAGGCCCAGATTGTCTTGGCAGGACACAGGTTCTCATTTAATAGCCACCCAACCCCAATGTGACCTCTCTGCTAGTCAGATTTCTCTAGAAGAATAGAATAAACAGTGTGTGTGTGTGTGTGTGTGTGTGTGTGTGTGTGTGTGAGAGAGAGAGAGAGAGAGAGAGAGAGAGAGAGAGAGAGAGAGAGACTCATACACATATACACATCATAAAAGATTTGGGGGGATTTTTTGCTTATATGATAGAAGCTGGATTGCCTCCAAATGGCCATCTATGGTTTCTCAGTCCAAGCAGCTGAACACCTCAAGAGAGCTAATCCAGGGCTGAAGGGCAGAGGTTCCCTGTGCTAACAGGCTGAAGAAGCTGGATTCTAGTGTCCTTAGACAGTGAAAGTAGTAACAGACACACTTGCTCAGAAACAAAGGGAGCTCATAGGAGCAGATATGCTGCCTTCATTTGCACTCTAAACATGGCTAAAAGCAGCCAGTAACAACCATGCCACTACCGTAATGCTGTTCTATCTTGAGGTGTCCTCTACCAAACAAACCAATCCATTCTATGGGCGGGAGAGGTGGCTCAGTGCCTAAGAGCACTTGTTGTTTCTGTAGAGAAGTGGGCTTTGGTTCCTAGTATGCAGGTTGGGCAGCTTGCAACCAGATGGAACTCCAGATCCATTGGATCTTATTTCTCTTCTGGCTCTGGTCCATGGGCATGTGCACACACACCCTCCTAAAAAAACTCAAACCCCAAATTAGTTCACTTTTAAAAATTCATCCTGTCTCATATTCTTAGGACCTGAACAGAGTGTACTCAGCTATTAGCCAGCAAGTAGCATTATTGGTGTCTAGATCAGTTTCCAACAGAGCTTTGGATCTGTCTATAAACTGTCCACATTACTGTAATTATTCCAGTCTTCTGAGCTCCCCCAGAATCATTCACTGAGTTCTGTTTACAGCATCCTAGGGCATCTCCAGTCAATGGTCTCAAACTTTTCCAAATTCTTCACAAAAACTCATTCCAAAGACTTAAGGACCACATGACTATCTATCACATGCCAACTCCACTTCTTTGGTTACCTATTCTCCATCTTGGTCTTTTGTTGTTAATGCAGTGGCTAAAAGGTTTATTTTGACTTGTGATTTCTGAGAGATTTTTGTTTACAGAGTGGAGATAGCATGTGTATGGACTGGCTCTGTCTGCATTGGTGGGAGTCAGAGGTGGACCTCAGACAGAAGGAAGCAGACAGAAAAGCACAGAACACAGGCTAGAACCTCCAAGGACCTGCTTCTGTTAATAGGCCTCAATACATTATGGTTCTGTAGCTTTCATAATAGCTCCACATGCTGGGGAATGAGTAATCAAGGCAAGATTCCATGGGGGAACAGCTCAAGTTCAAACTGTAGCAATGGACTTGATTATGAACCAGTCTGATACCTGGGAATCCAGTTAGCAATCGCTAGGGTTAACTTTGGGCACTGGTGAACTTGCTCGTCTCTTGGTGACCATCTGAGACTTGTCCCTGCCTGCTTGAACAGGCTGTCCCAGAGAGTAGGAGGAAATCAGGAACATATGAAGCATGTTTATAAAGGGTTTTTAGAGTCAGATTGTCCATGGCAGAGTCCAAGAGTGGTCAGCAAGCCTACTACAGAGATTTGCACCACATGTGATAGGGCCTTCCTTGCTGTTCCCAAAACACTCATCAATTGTTTGGGATCACCAAACTTAAAAGTCTCAAATTGAATGTTTGTTGATTGGCATTCACACCCCACTCCTACCCCAACATGTGATGCAGGTACCATGCAGGAACAACTGCAGAGGCAGCATCTCTGAAGGTTTTGGTAAGTCATGGGAGAACTGCATGCCCTTGTGAGTCATGAGTTTTCACCTGGATCCATTGCCCGTCCTCAGCACCACTTTTCTCCGTTTCCCCTCCAGGTGCTCTTCTGATACACAAAAGCTGAGGCACTGTTTCTGATCTGCATCTCAGCCACATAAAGGAAGACTTTGGAAGCCACAAAAAGATCCCAGGCTTACATCCTTGCCGCATGCAAGCCGTCTCTATCATTTCTTCTGTCTTCCAGGTCTATGGGGATTTAAGCCCCTTCTGTTGCTGGTGACATCAGGATGCTGTTGTGAACTCATCTGAAAACTCTGAGTGGAAACCATGTTTTCTGTTCTCACAGTTTCAGTAGGAAAACAAATTTTGGCCAAACTAATGTCACACGGTAGAAATAATTCTCCCTCATTGAGTGTGGAGATGGTGCCTGGGTGGCCGTGGTGCTTTCCAATGAGGCACAGCAATCTCCTTGCCTGGACGGTAGTCGTCCCCAACACCTACACCCAGAGAACCTTGAAATCAACCACCGTGTGCTCTTCAAAATACATTTATTAAAATCTACCATAGCTTTGAATGGCAATACTCCTGCTTTCCCAGGCATCAGAGTTCCTGAGAATCCGAGCCCTTGACCAATTACTTGACAAGCTGACTCCATACCCTGCGATGGCACTAAGCCCTTTGTAAACCAAACCTTTAAATTTTGGACACAGTTGTATAAAAATCAGTTGGAAATCCTTAATTGAAGCAATCATGAATAGAATCCACAAATGTCAGTTATTAACATTTTTAGCAATTTGTAATTATGGGAAACAAAGCCCTCACGC